CACACAAAACCCTATTTATCTTTTAAATCCTCCCCTACCATAAAAGTTACACATTCCCCTAATGCCTTAGATTTCAGGACATTGGGGAGAAACTCATCCCAGACAACAGGCTAAAAAAAGAATCCATTAGCATTAACTTGCCTGTCACAGCCAGTGACAAATAAATGAATGTGATGCTTTCAGATCCCTCATTGGTGGACCTGCCCCCAGGCAGATAAAGACCAAGGCTGGGAGAGGGAAGGCTCAGGGGGAGACCTCTCACACAGCGGTGTCTTAGCTGTCCCCGAGCTGCGCCCCAGGACTTCGCTCTCAGAGGCAGCAAAAACACAGCATCAGATATGGAAAAGGAAATGAATTCCCAGTGCCCACTGAGCATCCCCAAGATAAAGGATGCAAGCCATCTCCCCTTTGAGAGCCAGGACCCCAGGAGCAGGCCAACCCACCGACACAGGCTGTTCTATCATCATCCCTAGAAAGCAGCAACAGTACCACTCAACCCATGGGCTCCTGGGTAAGGGCCTCCTGTGATCTGGGCAGTGCCATCTGGACCTACTATGTGCAGATATCACCCGAGGCCCTTCATGTAATCTCCCTAACAATTCTATAATATAGGTACTGTTTAAAAGCCCCATTTTATAGGTGAAGAAATGGAGGCTATATATGTATTACGTGATTTGTCCAAAATTCCATAGCTAGTATAAGGACATTTAACTATGCTAATCACGTTTTTATACAACAGGCAACAGAAACTAACCTGGAGCTTCCTGGCCAAATTTTATTCCTTGGCCTGAGCACTTTACAGCAGTCAGGCAAACTCCAAGAACCTAAAATCCACCCAGTCGTGTTGGATGTAGCCCCCCACCCCTAGCAGAGGGGCTTAGAGGTTAAGGGAGCCAGGACACAGGATTCAGATGGCCCAAACACCAACCCTGATCCTTATTAGTTCTATGGCCCCAGGAAAGCTGCTTACCCTCACTAGGCCTCAGTTTATCCATCTGTCAAGTGGAGATAATATCAACAAAGGACTGTTGTAAGGGTGAAATGAAAGGAGATTAAGTATACAGAGACTTAGCACGGTGCCTCGAACACACTGACTAAAATAAGCAACAGCCATCATTTTGAGTTAGAATTTTTTCTTTGGGTTATTCAAGGTCGCAAAACTAAAATAGAGAAGGATGGCATCCAGGAGCCCAACCTGGAAAATAACTTTCCAGCTTGGGAGCCTGATGCTATCTACCCTTGAGAGAGAGGGAGGGCGGGGACACCTTGTTGTATTTGGAATGCCTATTCCGGATGGACCAACCACCCTAGGCTGCCATGTACCACAGGGTGCTCAGTCCTCAGACCACAAGTGCTCACACCTCTCACTCCACACAGAAAGCAGAGGGTGCAATTCCAAAGGCTCCTGCTCATCAAGGCAGCCACTCGACCCAAGGTAACGCCAGGCAGACACCACGTATGCAGTCCCAGGTCAAGGCTGCTCCGAGCCACAGGACACGTGCACTCATGTCATGTAGACAACCAGTGATTTCCATACCAGGAAGTGACATCTCACTGCCTACGTCCGGGAAGGTCACGAGCACAGCTTGGACAAGGACAGAGTACTGAACTTTAGAATTTTGCCTGCATCGCGGCATCTTGTTAAGGAGGTGGAGAGGAAGATGGAGACATGAGAATGACAGAGCTGTTTTGTAGCTGCCACACACCCCAAAGAGCAGGGGTGGTACCTGCCAAGAACATCACTCCCAAAGAAGGGTCAACAGCCAGAGCGAATGCGCTATGAATTTCGCTGACGGCACAAGCTCAGGATGAGAAACTCTCCGCAAAATTGCATCGGCCACAGTCCTATGTGTGACCCCAGCTTCTAGATTGGCCCCAAAGAGCTCCTAGCGTGGTACGGAGCATCCCGGGGATCCCGCACACACCAAGTGGGCTCCCGGCACCTACCAAGCAAAGCACAAACTCGTCTGCTTTGCCCGGCATTCAAGGCCTTCCACAGCCTGGTCCCAACCTCCTCTCCATACCTCACCCCGGAGCATTCTGCAGCACACGCCCTCTGCGACAGAGCGCCGCACGCCCAGACCTCTCCTAGCCCCTGGTAGGAAAACTGCATTCCTGCCATTCTTCCTTCCTACCTGTTCTACGGGCTCTGGGGCAAAGAGCACCTCTTCCAAGAAGCTGTTTGCACTCCTTCCTCTAAATGCCGTTCCTACCTTTCTTACTGTGCGCCGTGCGTCCTCTCCTGCAACACAGGCCCCTCCTCCCAGCAGGGAGGGAAGACCCCTGAAGACAAGAACGCTGTCTCCTGTGTCCTCTGCATTCATTCTATCTAAATGGAGGCCCAAGGTGTGCAAGAGAGCAGTATTAAAAGCTAAGGGTTTTTTACTAGTAAAATATGCTTGTACCTTTAGAGTTTATTGCCCAGTGGAGGCAATAAGGCATGAACCTAAATAACCATAAACTCAGAATGAAGCGCCTACCACAGTCCCTGGTGTGGAACATGGTAAATAATAACGGAATACTCCAAGTGGCAAATGACTGTACGAAAACATCTGGTCCAGCCCCACCCCTTCCATCACTCTCGCCCCGCATAGGTTTTCACACCCACTGGCACGTTATGTGCTCGTCCATTCACTCACTGCTAACTTGACCCACTAGGAGTGAAGGCCCATGAGGGCAGGGACTTTGTCTTCCTCTCCACACTGTCCCCAGAACCGCACGCAGGGCCTGGCACACAGTAAGTGTTCAATGACGTTTGGTGAGTAGATGAATGAGTGAGTGCCTAGCACAAGGCCTAATGGATGTCTTTGCTAACCTATGATGGTCGAAAGGGTTATAACCAAAGAACAGGTAAAGAGACGTGGAAATCCAGAGGAGAAGTATGGTGTCCACGAGGGAGCAGGGATGGCTGTGCGGAAGAGGTAACGATTAGGTTGGGCTTTGCAAGGGGGTCTGTTTTTGACAGTAGAAAGAAGGAAGGGCAGAGCAGATGGGATCCACAAAAGGACAGCTATTCGGAGAAGGGAGACACTCCGTTTCAAGGCAGCAGAAGGTGGATGAGTCAGGGAAATAAGCTGAAAGAAGACCCCGCCCCTCCCCGCGGACAGATATTGAAGGACATTCCCTATTAGGCTAAAAAGTTTAGACTGTTCACTGGGCACCAGGAAGCCATGGAGGGTGTCCTGAACCCACCAAAACGGGCACACACAGAGTCAGCAATGAGAAACAATTGTACGGGCACTTAAAAAATAAATACTCCGGATCAAACAAGAGGCCAGAGATGATGAGCTGCATCTCCCTGTGTGTTCTTGGCACTTTCGGCCAAAGAATGTTTGGGTTTAAAAATACAAAACAGGACAAGAAGAAGGGGTGCTGTCTCAAGGGGCACCCAAGAGGGTGGGCTGGCTCCTCAGAGAGTGCCTTCCTCCTCCTCCTCCTCCTCCTCCTCCTCCTCCTCCTCCTCCTCCTCCTCCTCCTTCTCCTCCTCCTCCCTTCATGGGGGACAGGGATTCTCACCCGTCTGCCAAACTCTCTGACACAGAACACAGGAGAACAACCTTAACACTGAAACAAGAGCACGTGAGGAAAGGCAGAATCCGGGAAAGGACATTTGTAGGACGAGATGCCCCTCCCCCTGAGCTGACACCTGCTGCTGGCAGGAACGCAGAAAGGAGCTGCTGTCCCCGACAAGAAAGAGGCTAAGCCACTAACCCCCGGGGTCCTGGCAGTGTGGACACGGGCTGCAGACACACCGCCACCTCCCCCAACTGGGAACCAGAAACCCACCCTAGGTCTGTTAACTGTGGCTGCCCAGATGACAGCTGCAGATCCTCCAAGATGGTAAGACGCTAGCATGACCCGACCCACAGCAGTGGGGAAGGCCAGATGCCGAAAACTCACCCCTCGCCCTTGAGAAGCTGCCAAGAAACCGCTCCCCCGGAACAGGAGGTGAGGAACAGGAGGTGCGCGTGGAAAACGCCCGTGCTGCGCTGCACCCATCTGGATGCCTGCTCAACAGAACCTTCCTGGGAACAGAAAAACCTGCCTTCCAGCTCAGCCTTGCCGCAACGTAGCCGTGTGACCGGGCAGCGAACAGAACTTCCCTGGGGGTCAGCCGCCTCCACTGTGAAGAAGGCAGGCGGGGTTCCACTCACGCACTTAACAGTTACCAACCGCCAAACAGCAACAGCCCCTGCCATCAGGGGGCTTCTGTTCCCATTAAGAATTTTCTTAGGGCATTTTCACCATCATATTTTTTTTTTATTTCACAAAAATAATTCAATTAATAATAATATCAGCAGACATATTTGCCAGGTGCCAGACAGAAACTTGCCGCGTTCACCTTGGAAACAGCTCCAGGTGAAGCACTACACGGTCTCTGTTTTAAAGAGAAGGAAACCGAGGCTAGAAGGGGCGTAGGTAACGCGCCTGGGTCACCAGCTGCAACAGAAGGCAACTGGGAAAGGTTATGGCCTCTAAGACTTAAGGAGCAAAATGGGAATACTTTCTTATACACAAGGATAATGAGGGCAGACAGAGCTCTGCCCAGACCCACTCTTGCTGCAAGATCCTAGGCAGTTTCTTGGTTTGTCCTACAAGAAAAAGAACCCACAAGCTTGAGCAAAACTCTTCCAGGCCGCCAGCACATCCGCCCAAAGGGACGGAAGGATATGTGACATGATTGATCCCAATCATCTCCGTTTCTCCAACGGCTTCAAATTAAGTCATCTTTTTAGAGTAGCATGGCCATTTTAATTTTTAAAAAGATAGAGGGGGAAACTCTTACATATTTCACAAAATGAAATCATCATCTGGAGAAATAGGAAGATACAGAACAGACCCATCTTCTTCTGCTCAAAATGCACTTCACTAATTAGCGGCCACTAGTCTCTGAAGAGTCGCCCCTCGACTGGTTAATAAAGCCCCATCGCACTTCACTTGAGACGTGAACATTTACATCGCAAAGGGGATAAATGAACGGCGGGATTCAAAACTCCTCCTTTGGTCGCTCGTTAAAATTCTGGTCAAAACAGGTTTTTATTTATGTGATACATTAAAGAATATTATGACAGTGCTAATACAAAATCTGTTCTTCACTGCCAGGGATTTTCTTTCATCTTAAGTTACAGTTTCTTTCCACTGGTCTTGTTTTAACACCTCCACGGAATATTTCTCTGGCGAGTGTCAGCAAGGAGGGGCGGCCAGAAAGCACTGAAATGAATTGTAACCGAAGCACACGCTGACATATCATCTACAAGCTCCTCACCCAGTCGTCGAGGAGGGGACAGCTCACCTTGCCCCTGGGACCTTAACACACACATGCAGAAGTTTTACTGAAGGGAGATAAACAAGAAATAAATAAGTCTTGACTTAAAGTTCTCTATTCCTGCCAGCGGGTTTTGGCCTCCAACATGAATGAGTCTGAAATCCCTGTGGCTGGGCTCAGATTCTATCAGAAAATAACGGTGGACAAGGAAGGTGCTTTCTCCCCACCCTGCCCCGACTCCCAGCCACCACACACCTTGCCATTTCCCCAGCTGCCTCCCTGGGGTTGAGCAACTCCAGAACCATCTGAAAAGATGCCCCGGGGGTCAGATGGAGAGCTGCTAGCAGACAGTGCCACACAAGGGGATGTTATCATCGGGGTTGGGCTAATCACCCAACCACGGCACCTCAAAGTCCTGAGATGCTGGCTGTGGTTCTGCCCCTCACAGCCTGGTGACCACTCTGCCACCTCCTGCCCCTAACAGAGAGGGGATACAACACTGCCCCTCCCCAGGCCAGCGCACTGGGAGAGGGCCCAGCATGGAGCCAGGTTGCCTGGGTGGGTTCCCGGTAACACTTCTCAACCCACGTGCACTGGGGTTTCCTCATCTATAAAAGAGAGATAGTGCTACTATCCACCTCACAGGACAGAGGTGAAGACAAAAGGAGTTACTATGCATAATGTCCCTCCACAGAGCCTGGCACTTCAACTCATATCGTTACTATTATTACCAGCCCTCTCACGGAATTGGGGTGAGGGGCTAATTACAAAAACAGCAGGTAAAAACAGTAAAGTAAAAACAGCAGGTAACACATAGGTATTACACTGCACCGGGTCTTTTTTTTAAGTACTTTACCTTTAATGATTTATTTAATCCACACAAAAACTCAACAAGATGGGGAAACTGAGGTGCAGGGAAGTTCAACGATTTGCCTGAATTCACAGCTGATGAGTGGCACAGCCGGGATTGAAAGTCAGGCTGTCCAGCTTGATAATATCCATAACAACAAAAATGATTAAACCAACAATAATGGTGGTGGTGGTGGTGGTGGTGATGATGATGAGTTACGAGGCCCTCACCCTGTGCCAGGCTTTTATTCTTCACAACAACTTTCTGAGGGAGATACTGTCATCACTTCCATTTTACAGATGAGCAAATAGACTGAGAGAAGGCAATTTGCTCAATGTCGCAGGACCTGAGATTCAGATGGAGATAATGGATAGGAAAGTCCTTTGTAAAGTGTGTCATAAAAAACAAGGTATTGTTATAAAATCCCTAGAATCCCATGGAAAGATGTCCGTCCCCAACTGGTTTAATGTTTCTTCACATCTAAGTATGGCATTCATCTAAAACATCCCAGGCTCTGGGTTGGTGAGGGTGGCGGGGGGGGGGGGGGGGGGGGGCGTGTAGAATAGGTGTGTGTACACGCTGACAAGTTTAAGAAATATCCTGCCTTGTGTTCAAGTTGAATGCATCATTGAAAAACCAAATGCCATGATATAGTAAAATGAAATATGCCCTAGCTGATATGGCTCAGTTGATTGAGCATCATCCCATGCCCCAAGAGATCACCGGTTCAATTCTCGGTCAGGGCGCATGCCCAGGTTGTGGATTCAATGAGAAGCAACCAATCCACGTATCTCTCTCACATTGATGTTCCTTTCTCTCTCCCTCTCACTTCCTCTCTCTAAAATCAATAAAAACATCTTTTAAAAAGTCTCGGTCTCTAAGAAGCAATTAAAATTGCTAAATCCTTCATCTAATTAAAAAAAAAAAAATACTGCCTTCTTGTAAAAAAATGGGGGGAGGAGCAGGTGGGAGGAGAAAACAAGTCAAACCCATGGTTTGACCAAGTCAGGGATTTTTCCAGTTTCCCTCTAGAGTAATCTGACCCCAGTTCTGGGTGATCAAATGACTAACCTGGAAATTTGAAGATTCATACTTAGGGAAGAAACAGCAAATCTCTCAAACCCAGGAAATGCTGCTTATTCTGGAAGCCTTCTGCAATGTCAAGGGTCACCCAGAGTTCAGAAAGCAACTTTTAAGCAGTTCAGACAGTCCCAAAGTTCGTGCTCAGTACAGAAATAATCGAACTGCTTTGGCTCATTAATTCCTTTTATTCGCTTAACATTAGAAAAAAAAATGCCTTAAAAAAAGTATTCCACTCTATTTACTTAAGGGATTTGTGCTTTCTTAGATAGAAAGGAAGAAAAGTAAGAAAAAAAGGAAAAAGAAGGAAGGGAGGGACGGAGGGAGGGAATCGCATGGCAGAATCAGACCTGAAATTCTCAAAATACCATCCGTAATTCCAACGTTTTCTTCACTAACGTGCAAAACCACTCCTCCCTGTAACACAATCACAAGGTTCCACTTCTGGGAGACCGAGCTTAAAGAAATAAACTGAGTTTGCTAAAGCCACAGCCCGCTTTCTTTATGACCTACAATCAGAAGCTTCACCTTTTCCCCTTTCCTTAAAGAATGCCAAGGCCACAAGGTGCAGATAAAGTCTTTCTTCCAATGCTATACAGGAAAGAAAAAAAGTTTAATGCAAAAGTGCAAATTTAAAGGTAAGCCATAAGCCCTTCACATTTCACCTCAGGCTCGGGCAGCTGTGTTCCCACAGCCACACCTGGCAAGCTCAGTGGAAACGACTAGCGACACACTTCTGAAAAAGCGAAGGCCTATCTCAAGCCTTTAAGCAAGTCTTGTAGCACCACTCGGACAAGCTTACAACATTTGCAGGACTTCTCCGCCCAGGCACCAGCACTTGCAAGAGCAGTAGCAGACCGGGTTTCAAGTGTGCCCTTATTTACCCAGCCAACCCGAAAGCCAGGCATCCACAGACTCCCCAGTCAGATTTAGGGCTCTACGGGTCTACGAAGGTGTTTTTCCTAGAGAGGACAAGCTACTAAAATTCTCCTCCTCTCCATAAACTCCAAGTTGTAAGGCCTCAAAAGAGTACCCTCCAAAAAGGGTCACAAGGAAATGTCCAACTTTTCCTGATATGATCTTGGCAATGCTTAAAAAATGAATAGAACCCTTGCATAGATATTGCACCAGACGGAGCTGTGTCCTCCCCCTAAGGATCAGGCTTGTCCCTGCCCTAGCTGTATGGCCAGAACCCACCTCCGGGTGGCTGACTTGCAGACGCAGGTTACCTCCAAGCGCCTGGCCTCTCACAGCCACGTGCTGTCACCAGGAAGTGTGTGCACCAGGATTCAGTGCTGCATTGCCAGAGCTGTGTTTGAAACCTGGAATCCTTGGCAACCATGTCTGAGTGCTACAATCCTGTTGCCAGTTCTCCTACTTACCTTGGGTTGCGCTCGACGAGGAAATGCAACCTTGGGGTCAATCTAGGAGAAAATGGAAAAGTGGAAGTCAATTGCAATACTTTCAGGAGAGGAGAAAAAATTATGATTAATCACCTAATTATTAATCACTCATTTCTCAGGCTTTGAACCCAGCTTTTAGTAACATCTCGGGCAATCCAGAAAAGTTTTTTAAACTTGGATCCAGACATAATGGTTTCTCCCCAAAAATGCAATAAATATAGCTAGCCTTTCTGAAATGTCCTACCATGTTATTCAATGTGTGATGCTGTTAATGAGCCAGATCTCATGGATTCTTAGGTAGGCCAGGGCCTACAGACACTGAATCATACAGATACTGAACGCATCGATCTAATCTGCAATGCATGGCTGGGAGGAAATGATGGGAACATAATCACTGAAAAAATCATAGCCTGAAAATTAAATGTAAGGCTCTTCCAGCAGTAGCTAGGTGGCATTTCTTCTCCCCGGTGAGAACTGAACAACACAGGAGGGAAGGTGATTCCAAAAACTTTGAAAATCAATGACACCCCAAAACACTCCACAGACATCCAATGCCAGACTCGGCTTGAATTAATTCATACGTTTGTGCAAAAGTATCTAAAATTAACCAAAGGGGCCGCTCATTCTGTAGTTATATCTCAAAAGAAAACAGGTAGTAAAAGCTATGGAGCCTTACTTGGTTCTTAAAAATAATAATAATAATATTAAAACAAAGGAAACACATGAGCTAACATCCACCTGGATTTTAAAAATTACAGAGGGGTTAAAAAAAAAATCGATAAGCAACCTAAACCCAAATAAACATCATCAAGGGGAGAGGGTTAAAAAAATTTTACTAAAGAAAGAAATGAGAACGTAGCATAACAATCAGGGTATTCTCCTGCCCTAACCCCAATCCCAGTGGGAACACATCCTCAACCCTAGATTAGACCACTTACAGAACACGAGTCTCAATCAGGGACTGGCTTTAAAATTCAAACAATCCCCACAGAAGCATTTGAATCTAGTAGGCTGGGGAAAAGGTGTTGAACAGAAAATATGGGTAGGGAAGGGATAAAAAAAGAGTCCCAACGTTGGTTTTCATTAGGTTTCTAAATGTCATGAGTCCCTGGGTGACATCCAATGGGGAGAGTGGCATGGATGTTGCTACCACGTAGTTATTTACAGGCTTTGCCTCTCGGATTAAGGTCCCCCCGCCCCACCCCTTTTAAAATGTAAATCTGAACCTTCATTTCGGTTCTGCCAGGGGGTTAAATAAATAAATAAGAGTAATGCTCTGGGAGAAAGCACCGAGGGAGGAAAAGCACACGACAGATCATTCTTGCTCGCAGACTTCGCATCCCTTAGGGCCCCGGCGGGTAAGACATACAAAGACCGACCACTTTTATGAAAGTGGTTTAAAAACCTAACAAAAGTCTGCAGTGTGTTTGTTTTCTACCTTTCAACATCACCTGAGAAATGAGAGATTAGTTTTCAAACACTAAGAGAGAGAAATCTCTGATCTAGGAAACTATCCTTCCATCAAGATTAACATTACCGCATCTACAGGTGTACTCAGCGCTGACTAGAGCTGTCTACGAGAGAAATACAACAGGTGTGGATTTCCATTCTGTTGACCCAGCGTAAGACAGATACGTCTCTTCTCTTCGTAAACACTCTCAAAGTCTTTTTTTTTTTTTTTTTTTTTTTTTAGCTGACAGGCACACAACTGCAATAATAAGTCATCTTGTTTGTCGGGTAAAAGGTGAGGGACGTGTTAGGGAAGAGGCCAGGAGCTGGAGGGGGCTGGGAGTAGGGAAGAATGGAGCACTAAACAAAAATATCTAAAATTACAAAACTCAAAGCCAATTTGGAATTCCTGCATTGGATGTCGCGATAACAGCGTGTGTTCCACAATGAGAGTTCTTCGGTGTGCTGAGATCTCTAAAGGAGAGGACAGGTCAAGGTAAGCATGGCAAATCCCAACCTTTTGCACATCCCTGTCAACTATTTTTTTAAAACGAACAAAAAAGAAAACTACCAAAAATTAAAACATTAGTTAGTTAGGTTCAGCTCTACTTACTGTAGCTACAGATCCTCTAGGAAAGGACTAGGGTACTATTTTGGATGTGAATGGCCATTACCTAAACAAAGCTTTTAAGGTAACGGTAAACAAGATCCTCTGTTTCCATGTCAATAAACCAACCGCTTCTGCCTCCTGCACTGAACGGTTGAAACAAAGTCAAAAGCTATGTTATACTAAATCACAGGAACTAAAACACGTCTACACACAATTAGGGAGGGGAAACTGCAGGCTTTGCACCTGATAGTGAGGGATATGACACACCAGCTACTGTAGAAACCAAATACTCCTTGGCCTACCCAGGGTGGGGAAAGGGAATGGATAATACATTCCCGAATTTGCTTTGAAATATTTGCCCTCTAATTTTACTAGCTTTTTGAAATGTCTAGCCAAAAATCAAAGAGTAAATAATTCTTCAAATATCCATTATCATCCTACAAACGACTGTCCCTGAAATTATATGTCCTAAAAGGACCAAAAGGCTGGGCCAGAGGCTATGACAAATCCAGTACAATAAAGCAACTTAGAGTGTGTGGAGTCTTATCCAAAGAGGGTAAATTTGCAGTCATTGCAGGCACACCAAAAGTGGCCAGGTTTTTGTTTTATTTTTCTTCTATTTAATCTTCAAGTCCAAATGGACTTGGAGCCCTGGCCGGTTTGGCTCAGTGGATAGAGCGTCAGCCTCCGGACTAAAGGGTCCCGGGCTCGATTCCGATCAAGTGCATCTGCCTGGGGTTGTGGGCTCGATCCCCAGTGTGGGGCTTGCAGGAAGCAGCTGATCAGTGCTTCTCTCTCATCACTGATGTTTCTATTTCTCTCTCCCTCTCCCTTCCTCTCTGAAATCAATAAAAATTTTTTTTTTTTTTTTTTAAAAAGGTACTTGGAATATCATCTCGGTTCCACTCCTTTATTTTAGAGAAGAGGAAAGTGAGGCCTGAGGCAGAGAACAACTTGCCAAAGTTTGAAAGGGGCATCTGGGACTAGCACCCAGTCCCTTGCCTTGTCCCACTACCCCACCAGAGAAGTGAGGCCCAAGTAGCCCAGCACTGCATCCCAATGTCACCTCAGGTCCCCCACTTTGGCAAGATGTATAAAAACTGTGGGAAAATTCTAGAAGATATAAAGGGAAGGGAGGTGAGCACAGAGCCAACACAAGGGTCTAAATAAAACATTACACATACATACACACATACCCCATTAAATGAATTATTCTATACTGATACTCTTTCTTCCCTTCCTCTTCTGACCTCTACCTAGAGACTTCCCCGCCCCTCAACACCAGGCTTCAAAACCTTCTAAATGCTATAAAAGTACCCACACTCAGAATAAAGAATCTGAGAAAGAAAAGGAAAAAAACAAATCACTTTGAAACCCAAGGCCTTATCAGCCTTAGATTTCATGCCATCTGGAGTCAGCCACTGGATGCCCAGTTTGGTCCTGGGAGCGTCTCCTTTCCTTCTCAAACCCCATTCCAAAACCGAAGTGCCCCAGGAGGAACCTGTTGCCTGGACCTGGATTAACGCCCCCTGGATTCTTCCTGACCCCTGGCCCGCCGAGCCAGGAAGCAGGCTGTGCCGTCTGAAAGCCAGTTCCCAGAGCCACAGTTGGTTAAGCGTGCTCTCTGCTCCCTCTCTGCTCCCTCAGCTGACAAAGAAAAGTTGCCTTTGCTCAGTGGTGGAGTTTCTTTGCAGGGTCCCTTGGCCCTGAAAATAGCACCACCACCCCCCTCCGATGGACCCCTCCCCCAAGTCGAGCTTGGCAGCCACTGGGTCAGGCTCCAAAAAGAAAACCCCAAACCCAGCGATGGTAGCAAACTTCAGTGCCAATTCGCAAGCTCTGCTTAAAAGTACCTGGCTCTAAGCACAGAAGCAAAAGAAGGCACTGTCCCTTTAAGTGGGGCTGTCAAGGCTCAGATTGGTCCTGAAAAGGGGCAAACAACAACAAGGAAAAGCAACCTACCGTCTTGGAATCTAACTCATGGTGGGGCTGACCTAATACTTTATCTACACTTGCTGGGTCTGCGAACGTGACGAAACCGAAGCCTCTGAAATGAGACAAAGAGGGAGAAAAACAAACAAGAAAATGTGACACCATTGAAAGCAACAGGGAGCGAGCCCTACGGTAGAACGGGGAGCAAAAGTTCCTCCGCGCCCCCCACAGTCCGCCTCCAATCGCCCTGGGTCTACAGCCCTCCACCTCGCAAGAAGCTACACCAAGGTTAACGGGGGAAGTGGACGGGCAGAGCTGGTGGAGGTAACTTGGGAAAAGCTGGTGCCTCCACTCTTTCGCCACCTCAGTTTCCTCTCCTCCTCCTCCCCTTTCCTTTCTTAACGCTTTGTTTTATTCCGATGAAAACCCGGCACTTAGGAGAGATTCATCCAGCTCCCTAACAGGGGTTTAAGAGTTTGGGGAGCTGGGAGTGGGAAGAAGCATTAAAAAAAAAAAAAAAAAAAAAAAAACTACGTGGAAAGTGAATGAAGCTGAATGTCATTTTAAACAGGAGAAAAAGAAGCGCCGGGGAAATGACTTAAAGACGGAGAGCTGGGGATCTGTATAACCAGGCAGAGTTCAAGCCCCAATTTACAATAACCTTTGAGGTTATGGGGACGGGGGTGGAATAGAGCAACGTTCGAAACCAGCCACATGCCTGAGCCCCATTCTAAATCCGCTTAGCTACTTAAGACGCCTCCAAAAATAACACTTAAACTTTGTTCTAAAATAAAGGCAAAATCCAGAAGGGAATGGTTTACCTGGAGCGTTTCGTAGTGGGATCTCTCATGACCATACATTCTCTAATTTCTCCAA